GCGGCTAGCTGGTGGGGTGGCAGCGTGGGGCAGCGTGGGGCAGCGTGGTGGGGGCGGGAGAGGGAGATAGACTGCTGGCAGTCTCCATGGCGGGCCTATGCACTGCCCTCCCATACTCAGGACCAGTCTTGCCCATCTTTCTCCATCCAGTCAGGCTGGCAGAATGAGGGCAGGCAGGTGTGTCCCCTGAGTGTCCCCGTCCCCTGCCCGACTTCCCTGGGGCAGTACTTGGCAGTCAGGAGTGGGTCCACTGTCCTGGAGGGCAGCATGCTCCTCAGCTGTGGCGTGAGCCACCACTTTGCTTGCTCGGGTCGCTGGAGTTCCACCTCCATTGCCGCTGGGGTCCCCAGGGGCCTGGGCCAGGCCGCTGGTGACCAAAGGTGCTGAGGAGCCCCGGGGGAAGGCCGGTCCCCAGGCCTGGGCCATTCTGGAGTGTCTGTGGACCAGAGAACAGGGAGCAGGGCAGGCTTGCAGCAGGGCCTGACGAGACAGACCAGAGGACAGGGTCCCTAGGATGCTGTGGTGACAGCGTGGGGCCGGGCGGGGCTGGCACGGTGGCCTCTTGTCCGGAAGGTGAGCTTCCGTACCAGCTCAGCTTCTCCGCAGAGCGGTCCCATTGTGAGTCGTGACACTGGCCGGTGCCTGGAGGTGGAAATGTCCAAGGATGCCAACTTCGGGCTGCGGCTAGTGGTGCAGAGGTGCTCAGGGCAGAAGTGGATGATCAGAAACTGGATCAAGCATGGGCGGCACTGACCCTTCCTTCTCCGCCCAGCGCAGAGCCCTGTGGACCTGGGCGGGGGCATGGGTGGGCACCTGTCTCTGCAGACCCTACAGACCAAGAGCGGGACTGGGCCCTGTCTCCCAGGACCGTGGAAGCCAAGCAGCCGGTGGCATCGGCCCCAGGCCAGGAGCAGCGTCTCCTGGGACAGGAGATCTGAGACAGAGCACGCCAATGCCGAACCACGTGCCTTTTCTATGGTGTTCCCAGACAGGCCACCGGACAGCCACCTCCCGCATGTGCCAGTTCCCTGTACATACCCCCACAGTGCCATCCCTGCTGCCCAGAGCCGAGGCCGGGCAGCGTCTTTGCACCAGACGCCCCTTCCACCCAGCCGGCCGACACCTCCCGACTGGCGGCCCCTTCCTGGCCCACTTACCATCGCCGGACCAGAGCGGCCCTGTGGTCTGGTTAGAGGCCAGGAGACCACGTCTGCCCTGGTCACACATTTAGGAATGGCCAGTGGGGGACAGATGGCAGCGGTTAAGCGGCAGAGACAGTCACACCTGTCTTCGTGGGGTCAAGGCTGGCCACTGCCAGGCAAGCCCACCCCGTCCTGGGCCCTGGCTCGCTTGTTGCTGCTTTCCCTGCAGCAGGGGTCAGCAAGCAATGCCCCCAGCACCTCGCCTGTTTTTATAAATAAAGTTTTATTGGCACACAGCCACTCCCACTGTTGGCCTGGTGTCTGTGGCTGCAGAGTTGAGATGTTGCTGGCAAAGCTCAAAGCTTTTCTGTGGCCTTCCAGGAAGACGCTCACCCATGTCTGCTGACCTTGCCGGGCGCTGGCTGGCTGGGGGTGGGCGGTCTGGGGGCCTCAGCCTGGGTGCTGGCCACCGTGGTCTTGTGCCTCCAGAAGTTCCCTGGCCCTGGGCTCCATGGCACCCATCCTCGTAGCTCAGGGCCCTTCCAGAACTTTTCAGTCATGTGTGCGCAAGCTGCGGGTCGGGTACCACAGCACGAACCTTAGAGACGAGGCTGGTGCAGCGGCATGGGGCCAGACGCGTGTGCTCCACTGGGCCCAGCAAGAGCAGGAGGAGGATGGAAACAGGTGGCTGACTGAGCGACGGAACCAAGGCCCTGGCTGGCTTCCGGCGCATGCGTGGCTCATTCTCACCCTGGGGCCCCACGTGCAGGAGCGAGAGCCACAGCCAGCTCTGAGCATCTCCTGGGGACCCTGTGCACACTTCCTGCCCCAGCGCCCTGCTCTTGCACGAGACTCCATTTCCCCATGCCATGTCTCAGAAATGCCTTCTTCTGGTCTAATTGTCCCCAAATTCTGCCTCCTGAGACCTGCTCACAGGTGCGCCTGACTTTCTACCCAACCCTGACAGCCCTCACCTGCTTGTTTGTGGGTACTCAGCCCTGGCAATTTCCCAAGAATCCTGAGGAGCTTCAGCCAGCAGCTGGGGAGAGGGAGGTGGGCTTGGGTGGGCTCCTCACAGCCACAGGGTCTGCAGTGCGGTGCCGGGCAGGCCCATGGCCAGCAAAACGCCCCCACGGGTTCTGACTCCGGGGACACACCCCACTGGGGCCAGCCTACGAGCACAAGGCCCTGAACTCAAACCCCAGTACCACAGAAATAGAGAACAATTAAACAATACAGTCAGATGTGGTCTGTATCGAAGCCAACCTGGGGAGAAAAAAAAAAGGAAAGCAAGAGATGAGGAGAGAGGATAAAAGAGGAGAAACACAGAAGAAACAGCACTGACAACACTGGAGATGCAGAACAGTCCACAGGCCTCACTCAGAGCTGCCAAACGGGGCTGTGGCTCCAGTGGTAGAGCACTAGCCTTGAGCAAAAAAAAAGCTAAGGGGTAGTGCCCAGGCCTGGGATAGCAGCACAAAGGAGAGACAGTGAGAGGGCGGAAAAGGGAAAGAGGGGAAGAAAGAATCTACCATCTCTCCAAGCTCAGAAACGGATTCTAAGTCAAGGTATGGACAGGGCAGGGCCCTGTGACCCCCAACCCTCCCAGCTCTGGCGTGACTCGCTTTGGCCAGCGCTGCAGTACCTGAGCCTCCGTCCTCTGTGGCTTCTGTGTCCCTCACCCTCTCAAGGACATCATTGATAGGACCAGAGCCCCTGCTCCAACTTACCCTCATGCTCACACGAACTCTGCCCTGTCTGGGGCGCTGTAGTTTGGGGAGACAGCATGTGGCACCCTCTTTCTGCAGAAGCATCTGGCTCTGCAGTGGAGCAGAGCCAAGCTCAGACCCAGGGAGTTCTGCCTCCTCCCAGACGGGGCCTGGGGAGCCCCATTCCCCCAACCCCCAGAAGCTGCCTGCACCCCTCCAGACACACAGAAGCTGCCTGCAGCCCTCCCCACAGACAGACACACAGAAGCTGCCTGAGCCCCTCCCCACAGACAGACACACAGAAGCTGCCTGCGGCCCTCCCCACAGACACACAGAAGCTGCCTGCGGCCCTCTGCGCTCAGCTCAGGGCTCCAGGCCTGAGGGTCCAGCAGCTTCAGGCTCTCTCTCAAGCTGATGAGAACAGCAACCCCAGATGACCAAAGCTAATTAAGCTGACAGCCTTGACGAGAGGCCTGGTTAACAGCCCAGGGGAAAATAAGTGGAGAACCTCGTTTGTTATTTCTTCTTGCTTTTTAAGGCACCCAATAATCATGTTAAAAATTAAATTAAATGGCTTATCTGTGCTAGTACAAATCAGCTAAAGTGAGATTTCTTCATGGCTGCCAACTGCTCACTCCAGATGGATTTGCTCCCGTGTATCCAGGGCCGAGGTGATAAATGCAAAGCTGAGTCCTCCTCTCCAGAGGCTGAAGTTCAGTGGGGTCCAGCTCTCTCCTCTCCTCCCCTTCTCAGTCCCTACAGCAGATGTCCTTCCTGATAGCCATAGAAATGGCAGAGGCAGGGAGGCCGGAGGAGAGGGCAGCTGGGAGGGAAAGAAGTGCTCACAAAGACAGAGGACGAGGGCCGGGCGTCAGTGGCTCACGCCTGTAACCCTAGCTACTCAGCTGAGATCTGAGGATCATGGTTCAAAGCCAGCCTGTGCAGGAAAGGTGAGACTCTTATCTCCAATAAACCACTCAGAAAACCAGAACTGGCACTGTGGCTCAAGTGGTAGAGTGCTCATCTTGAGCTGAAGAGCTGAGGGATAATGCTCAGGCCCAGAGTTCAAGCCCCATGACCAAAAAAAAAAAAAAAAAGACAGGAAGAATCACCCTAAGAAAACCACCTGCAGAAGCCAGACTCAGAACCTGACAGGCAGAATTATGAGCAGCTTAGCACAGTAGTGGCAAAACTGAAGGATGAGAGGAAAACTGATACAAAGGGTGTGAACTTAGATCTCGGTCATGATTAATGTGGACACAGCCACAGTGAAAACAGGCAGGACGTCCTGGAGAGGGTCAGATGGGGTCACGCTGGGATGGCAGCAGTGTCCTGAGCAGAGGGTCTCTGCGCTGCCGGACTTCGTGCTGGAAGCCCATGGCCACATCGAATTCCAGGCCCTGCTCCTGCTCTGGACACCTGGCTAATGGAATGCACAAGGCCCAGGGTCAAAACCAGGAACAAATAAGCCTGATGTGCCTCCACCTGCCAGGATGGCACGTCAGGAAGCCCTGGGAGGAGAGAAGGGACAGAGGAGGGACAATGGAGAGGTGACCAGGATGATGCAGCCTGCGCCAGAGCAGGCTGGGAGAGGGCAGGGAAGAGGAGAGCACAGCCTGCAGCGGGCACTCATGCGTGAATCTTTCAGGGCTGCAGCTCATGGACCAGAAGTATTAGGGCATCCACACAGGTGCAGAAACAACCACCTAACAGCCTAGGGCATCCATGCAGGTGGAGAACTGATCACCTGCCCAGCTTGGGGCAGAGCTGTGCTGTCAGAGGTCACACAGGCGCCAGCCCGGAGACGAGCCTGTGCGGTGCAGAAGGGCAGGGGGCGGTGGCGCTCCTCCGCCAAGCGTGGGGCTCGGTCAGCGGGGTGTGCTGCAGCTTTCAACACAGGCTGCATACTGGAAAGACGCCACTGACATCTCATTTTCTACCGTTAATTTGCTAAATGTCAACTAACTGCTCGAGTGCTCCTTATCACCGGGCGGTCTTCTCCACATCTCTCTAGGTGTATGCTCCACTCCTAAGGATGACTCACATTCGCCTCCTATGGGAGAAGCGGAGGGAGGCGGGAGCACCAGGAGAGCCATTTGCATGGCTTTGTCCTTTTCCATACCAAGGTACAAGAGACACCCTTCTAGGCACATAATAGGTGCTCAGTAAGTACTGTCCTAATCAAGCCAGATGTGGTATGATCCCATCATTTGAGAGGCTAAGACAGAAGGATTTCAAGTTTGAACCCAACCTGGACTACTTAATAAGATCCTGTCTCCCTCCATGGCCTCCCCCCCACCCCCACCCCCCCCAAAAAAAGAACCGGTCTAGTAAGAGAACTAAGCTGTGGAATGGAGAGCTTCTTGATCTGCTGTCTGCTATAGCTGAATGCCAGAGGCTCAGCTGTTCACAGACAACAGCAGTTTACCTTCTTTTGGGACCCTCTGCCATGGCTAGTGTTTGGTGAGGGAAAGAGGGCAAGTCACAGATCTGCTGAAGCCCAAATTCCACCAACAAAGGGGCACCTCGGGGCCTTGCAGAACACACCGGCAGTGCCTGGAATTTGGTTAGGACGGGGCGCTTCCCAGGCTGGGCTCAAGTGATCCTCCAGGGCCTGCCTGTACCAGGCCACGCGGACCCAGTGAGGAGCCCCAGGCCTGCACAGCTGCAGGGAAAGGCGAAGACCCACGCAGCCCCTTCCTGCCTCACAGGGCTACAGACTGGCTTGCGGAACCAGACCCTCCCAAGGCCCTCTCTCTCCACAACACTCTTCTATAGAAGCCATTTATTTGGGTGGGGATGGAGTGGTGGCTGGGGTCAGCTGAGCGTGAAGAGCTGGGCACAGAGGTCGTCCTGCCGGCCTAGCAGGCCCTGGGCGGGGATGAACTCCAGGGGTACCGACTCCGGCCCCTTCTTCTTCAGGTCCCGCTCAAAGATCTGTAAGGGACCCATGGTCCTGGGCTTGCACTCCACAGTCCCACCCTACCACAGCCCTACCCAGCCCCTGCACCAACCCTAGTACCTCATAGGCAGTGAGCTCCAGGAGCGGGGCGATGCTGACCTCAGGGACAGACAGGACCTGGTTGATGACACTGGCAGCTTTGGACACCTCAGGGTGGTAATGCTGCTGGAGCGTCTGAGGGACAGGACGTGGGGACGATGCACAATGGCCACAGCCCCTGTGCCGTGCACAGCCTGTGCCGTGCAACCCCAGCCAGACGCACAGACCTCCCGCTGCTGGAGCGTCTGAGGGGCAGGACATGGGGACCATCCACAAGGGCCACAGCCCCTGTGCCGTGCACTGTGCCGTGCAACCCCAGCCAGACGCACAGACCTCCCGCTGCTGGAGCGTCTGAGGGACAGGACGTGGGGACGATGCACAAGGGCCACAGCCCCTGTGCCGTGCACAGCCTGTGCCGTGCAACCCCAGCCAGACGCACAGACCTCCCGCTGCTGGAGCGTCTGAGGGGCAGGACATGGGGACCATCCACAAGGGCCACAGCCCCTGTGCCGTGCAACCCCAGCCAGACGCACAGACCTCCCGCTGCTGGAGCGTCTGAGGGACAGGACGTGGGGACCATCCACAAGGGCCACAGCCCCCGTGCTGTGCACAGCCTGTGCCGTGCAACCCCAGCCAGACGCACAGACCTCCCGCTGCTGGAGCGTCTGAGGGGCAGGACATGGGGACCATCCACAAGGGCCACAGCCCCTGTGCCGTGCAACCCCAGCCAGACGCACAGACCTCCCGCTGCTGGAGCGTCTGAGGGACAGGACGTGGGGACCATCCACAAGGGCCACAGCCCCCGTGCTGTGCACAGCCTGTGCCGTGCAACCCCAGCCAGACGCACAGACCTCCCGCTGCTGGGGGCGGGGTGGGGGGGGAGTGGACATGCTGATAGGATCAAACAGGGCTCCCTGGGAGCCAGGCCAGCATGGGCAGCACTGTGGTAATGCAGTTCTTGTCAGAGATGGAGTGGCAAATTCAGGGGTGGCCTGGGGCTGCCAGAGCCCATCCGAAGCATGGGGCCAGCAGCTCACCTGCAGCTCCCACAGGCAGCTCTCCAGGGCCTGGCTCTTGGCTGGATCCTCCTCCATGGGGTCATAGGGGTCAGCATCCAGCTCTAGGAACAAGATCCAGACCCCATGTGCCGGCTGCTCTCCACGGGGCACTGCCAGGTGTCCTGCCTGGCAGGGTCTTCCTGGCCGCACTCACCAGGCTCCACACCAGGACACGGCAGGTGCAGAGTCTGCTGCCCAGGTCAGCCCCGCTGTGTCAGGATTTGGGATGTGTGTGTGTCTGCAGCCTGTACTGTGCTCTCTGGAGTGGAGTCAGCAGTGTGTGTGTGTGTGTGTGGGGGGGGTGTCTGCAGCCTGTACTGTGCTCTCTGGAGTGGAGTCAGCAGTGTGTGTGTGTGAGGGGGGTGGTGGTGTCTGCAGCCTGTACTGTGCTCTCTGGAGTGGAGTCAGCAGTGTGTGTGTGTGAGGGGGGGGGGGGTGTCTGCAGCCTGTACTGGTGCTCTCTGGAGTGGGGTCAGCCCTGGGGCTGGACTCACCCAGGCCTTGCGGGCGGTGCACCAGGACGCGGCAGGCAGGATGTCTGCGCAGCAGGTTGCAAATGAAGGGCAGGACCATGAGGAGGGCCTCGGGAGGTGCCGTCAGAGCAAGGTGTGCAAGGCGCTTGGCGAAGGCAGCCACCAGGTAGGCAGGGAGATGGCTGGACAGGGCGACAGGGTGTGAAGTTTCCAGGCCCCACCGCAGCCAAGGCTGCCGTCCCATGGAGAAGCCTAGCAGCAGCCTGCGTGGCCCCGGCCTCCTATGCTTTTCTGAAGCCTGATGGGTTCTCCCAACACTTACGAGGATGACAAGAAGAGGTCAGCTAGATGGAAGAAGCGGGCCCGATACTTGACATGGAAGATGGATGGATCCAGAAGGCCATAGAGCTTCCGGTAGAAATCAGGGTACTCCCTGAGACAGGGGGAATGGGGACCACATGGGGACCAGGAAGGAGGATAGACCAAAGCCCCAGCAAATCAGCGCTTCAGCTCCTCCTCCTCCCCTTTCTACCCGTCCTGCCCCCAAGTCTCCTGGGCAGGCCCCGGACTTCCGAGCACCCTCACGGTCCTCTGGGGAGCAAGTCCCCCAGGGAGGGAGGCCAGAAGGACTGGAGGCCCAGGGCCAGGAAGCTCAGCCCAGACCGACACTCACAGGTTGTGTTTGTGGATCAGGATAAAAAGTCCGTTCAAGGCCAGGAGGCTGATGGCACCCCCTGCAGACACACAGAGATATGACGCCTGACTGGTAGCTTCAGGCCCACTGTTCTTGCCACTCCCACCCTAACCACTCCCATGGCCTGTTTGGAAAGACAGCCACTGCAACAGCGCCCTCAGCTGTAAAGCTGGAGGCCCCCTGCTCATTGGGCCATCTACATGCGAGAAACAAACCGAGTCCACCCTCAAGCTGATTAGGAGGTTAAGAGACGTGACCATGTGTGTGAACTCACCCACATCACAAGCACTAGTAAGGAAGTCAATCATGAGGGTGGGTTGGGCCAGGTGAGGCAAGATGGAGTCATGCATAACCAGGAGCACCTTCTTGTACAGGCTGAGAGGCAGCTGGGAAGATCACAGGAAGTCAGGGTACAGGTGGCTGCCCACTTTAAGACCACAGCCCCCCAGGCCCATTATCCTACCTTGTGCTTGAGGAAGCAGAGCCACATTGCCTGGAAGGCCTTCCTATGCTCCTGCAATGAGACAGTGCTGCACTAGCTCTACCGAACCATACGTTCCCCCTCCCCAGCCCAGGGGTGGTGTTGGGGGCCTGCCTGTCCTCTGCCCATCCACACACAGAGCCTGGAGCCGCAGGCCAGACTGGCAGCACCAGACCTGGGCCTGCAGGCTAAGAAGCCTTAGTACAAATGGCAAGGACATCCCTGTAGGCACAGAGGGCATAGGGGCTCAAGCCCAAAGCTAGGGATAAAGTGACCAGACACATATCACAGCCTACGTCACTGGGCCTCTTTCTACCCAGGAAGAGGATGCTGTGCCCCAGGAAAGCCAACTAAGCCTCTAGAAGTATCTCACCTTCAGATGAGTGACCTTCCACTTGTTGGACAGCTCTGTAAGGATAATGAGAAGTGTTTCCCAGCATGCCAGAGAGAGGCAAAGCAGCCAGGCTGTCAGACCTGGTCAGTGCTCTGTACACCCTCTCTGGGCTTGGCCCAGAACGATTACCTGTGTGTTTCACATAGAAGCTGGTGACCTCACCATCCTGGGAGGGCAGGCTTACAGCAGACAGCAGTGTGAACGCATTGTTCCAGAAGGTGAGGGATGCCTGCAGGAAACCTGGCCTGAGTACCACTCACCTGCTTCCCTGAGGTGCCACCGGGCAGGTGACGGACTTAGCTGCTCACCTCGGGCTGCTGGGTGGTGACCTTGGCTGTGGTGGCCGCAGCCGCCTGCATTGTGTGGTAACGGATGTCATCATGTTCCAAGTACTGGCAGAACTGGGAGATGAGCAGGCTCTGGTCCTCCTCGGAGGAGAGGAGGCCTCCCACCACTACCTGGGGGCAGGGGTGCAGTGAGGACCTTCTCCCCCTTGCAGCACCTGGTGCCAGGGCCCTATTGAGCCACCACCACCAAGGGTCTGGCCTCATACTCCCTCTTTCCACTGCCAAGGACCCCCCCCCACACACCTTCAAGAGACCTGCAGGAGTCAGTGTCCCTCAGCCCCCAAGGCAAGAAGAAGCCAGAGTATGCCAGCCCCCAGCCACCAGCCCAGGCAGCTCACTCCCAGAACCCATCTTGTATGCATGGAGCAGTGCTCGGGGTCCCCAGGGCTCACCCTGAAGAGACTGTGGGGGAACAGGTAGTGGCCCTCCCACTGGGCCTTCTCCAAGGGCTGCGCTCCTTCCAGCTGCACAAACGTCATGAGCACCCTGAGGGCCTGCTCCTGTGAAGCGTGGGAATGGAGACACCATGACACTTCCCCTCCAGGTAACCCTCCACGGGCCCCCAGCACACCTCAGTCTGGGGACCCCTTAAAATCAGGCTCAGGATTAGGCTATGAAGCAGAAAGAAAAAAACAACCCTGCAATGTCTTGCTCTGTACTGTCTCCACTCATGGTCTGGGCTTGCAAGTCCCAACCACGAGAAGGGGTGAGGGCACCATGATGCAAAGGCATCTGGGCATGGAGCTACGTGACCGTTCCCTTGACACTCAGTCACGGGAATGCCACTGTCAACTTCACACACTGAGCAAAGACCCAGGCACGGGAACCAGAACAGTGACCCATGCAGAGCAGGGTTCAGGACAGTTCTAGAACCACAATTACAAACACTACACCTCCAAGGGCAGCAGGATGGCACCAAAAAGCTTAACAGCCTCATGTGAGGACAGGCCGTGGCACCCCCTCTCCTGCTGCCTGCCGCCTCCGCTTTGTGGAAAACTCTAGAGTTGGAGAGGAGACAGACAAAAGTGACCTGGAACCTCACCTTGACCTGGAACGCCGGATGGGCAAGCAGCTCCTGCAGGCGGTTACAGCAGCTGTGATAACGGTGTCTCATCCACACCTTATACTTACACACGGCTCCCTGGGTCCCTGAAGAGAACAGTTGGAGGCCATCTGACCTGACACTCACATACCGCCAGGCAGGGAACCAGCCCCGAGACCCCTACGGTTACCAGATATTCCCTAAGCCCTGAAAACAGGCACCAGGTGCCCTCCTACGTTGCCCCCACTCCCTCACCCCTCTCCTCACACTGCCCCGGGGCCTGGGCGTGTCGCAGACTGAACACACAACCCGTAGCAAGTGAGCCTTCGAGTGTGGCACAAGCGCACTGGGAGCAATGACTCCTCGGTGGCATTCACGCGTGCGGACACAGACATCCCGTCCCTCCCCCAGGGAACCCGGCGTGTCCTCCCACCGCCTCCCGCCTCCCGCGGGACCCTTACCTGCCCGGACCGTGTCCTCCGGGGGCAGCTGGCCCACGAATAGTTCTCTCCGCTCCAGCAGGGCCCCAAATAGTCTGCCGCACGTGCGTACGGCTTCCTGGATCTCCTCCGGGTCCTCAGACTGCAAAGAGAGGCCAGCCCGGGTGACCGGCGGCCCGCGCCACCGCTCCCAGCCCGGCCTCCGGCCTCGCCCCGGGGCGCCCGGGCGCCGCGGCCCGCGCACCTGCAGTACGGCCAGGATATCGAACACAGAGTTGGCCCGGCCGCGGCTCGCCAGCACCGCCCGCAGCAGGCCGCCCAGGTCCGGACGCGCGCCCGCCGCCGCCGGCCCCCGCTCGGGCTCCATGCTGCCGCCAGCCTAGTCCGGCGCGCCCGCGGCGTCATCCCGGCGCGCCCGTGACGTCACCCAGGCGCGCCCGCGCACCCGGCCGCTCGCCTCGCTCGAGCGCATGGCGCTGTTTCACGTCGCCCGGTACTCGGGCCTCGGCGCCGGGCAGCCGGAGGCCGAGGCGGAGGCCGGGCGGCCCCGCGGGGCCCGTGCGCTGCTCGAGCGGCTGCAGTGCCGGGCCCGCGAGCGCCAGCGCCAGCGGCAGGAGCCGGAGCCGGACCCCGAGGCTGCCGCGGGGACCCCGCAGGCCGCGGCCCGGCGGCGGCGGCGGCCTCGGCGGCGGCCTCGGCGGATCCACGGCTTGGAGCCGGGGAGCCCCGACGCGCCTCGGCCGAAGCGGCGGAGAGCGGACGGCGAGGAGGCCGGCGCGGGCGGGCCGGCCGGCGCGGGCTGCGGACCTGGGCCGCGGCGGGAAGACGCCCCACCGGGCCCCGGCTGCCTCGCAGGTGACGGCGAGACGGCGCCGCGGGCGCGCTGCGAGCGCCACGAGGCCCAGGCGGCCCTCGACGGGCGCTCCCTGAAGGAGACGCCTGGACTTCCGGGGCCCGGCCCGGTCCTGGGAGGCTTCGCCCGGAGCAAGACGCCCAAGGTGAGCGCCGCTGGGGAGGGAACGGCGGAGGTCTCCGCGTCATCCTCACCTGGCACCTGGGCGCCGGCAGTGGCGGGAGGAGGCTTGGCAGAGCGCCCTGGGAGTGGGGCTCTGGGGGGCCAGCAGGCCGGGACCGGTGTCCAGCCAGGCAGCAGGCAGTACAACCGCTACCGACAGCGCTGCCGCAGCGGAGTTTCATGCTGGGGTGCCTGTGGTGTGCTCTGGGTGGGTCTGCTGCCTTCTGCCGCCACACTTGTTTGAGTTGATGTCATTTGGAAAGTGGGATGGAAATTGGACGTGTGGAGGATTGAAGTCAGACTGGTCAGGGCCTTTTGGGGCCGCCAGCCTCTTTGCTTGACTCTTGTGGCTCTTGCCTGCTTTGCTCCTCTCACTGGCAGAATTCTCTTGGTCTCTCTTGTCTTCTGGGGTTAGGTCCAGCCTTTCCTGCCACTGTGGCTGGCTGAGCCGAGCTGTGTCAAGAAGAATGTCACCGAGGATCTTACTCCACTCGAGGCCATTCCTGAGGTGCACCCTGACCTGCAGAAACAGCTGAGGGCACATGGCATCTCCTCCTACTTTCCAGGTGCTCCAGCCCCTGGCAGCCAGGCAGGGAACACTCCTAGAGCAGCCTCTTCCAGGCTGCTGGCCATGGGGCAGAAGTCCCTGCCATATGAAACATCAGGTGTGCCTTGGTGTCCTGCAGCTTGAGCTCCTGGTGTAAACACTTGGGCTTCTCAAGCCAGGCCCTCCTTGTGCCCTTGGTGTTGTCCTTGGGCAAATGGGTCCCTAAGGTAGGGCTGGTCCTGCTGTAAACCTGACCAGGCCCGTCTCTTCCCTGCTGTTGTCCAGTCCAGGCAGCTGTGATTCCAGCCCTCCTAGAGAACGCAGCCAGTGGGTTTCTGGTGGGGAGAGGGGGTTACCAGCCCAGCGACCTCTGTGTTTCTGCCCCAACTGGCAGTGGGAAGACTCTGGCCTTTGTCATCCCGGTTGTACAGGTGAGCGCTAGGGTCCCCTTCTCTGCCCACTGAGGAAGCAGAGAGCCACCCCTACTTATGCAGATGGCCCTCCTTCCCACCTTCCCTACAGGCCCTGCTGCATCGTGTGGTTTGCCACGTCCGTGCCCTGGTTGTGCTGCCCACCAAAGAATTGGCCCAGCAGGTATATCAACCGTACTTCCAAGTACGGAGTGCCCAGCCGCCCCACTGGGCACATGTGGACCTCAGTCCCTGAGTGACTTACACTAGAGTTCAAGGTAGGGCCAGCACTTAATCTTGGCCAGTGACAGAGACCTCTTGTAGGTGAGCAAAGTGTTCAACATTTACACAGACACCACACCTCTCCGTGTTGCCCTGGTTACCGGACAGAAGTCGCTGGCTAAAGAACAAGAGAGCCTTGTCCAAAAGATGTACGTGTGCCAGTGGTGGGCTCCTCCAGAGGCGCCCTGTGTGTGCTTGCTGGATTACTGGGGTCAGAGTGAGCTGAAGTGTTGTGTGTGGTACAGGTAGTGCTTATTAGAAAGTCCTGGGAACAGCTTCTTTCTGTTGTTCTGATTTGTAGAGCAGATGGCTACCGCTGCCTGGCTGACATTGTGGTGGCCACACCTGGCCGCCTGGTGGACCACATTGATCAGACTCCAGGATTCAGCCTCCAGCAGCTCCGCTTCCTGGTAACCTACCCTGGGAGCCTGGTCCCTGAGCTGACCCAGCCTCAGCAAGTGTCCCAGCTAACTGGCTCCTGCCTTCTAAAGGTGATTGATGAGGCTGACCGAATGATCGACAGCATGCACCAGTCCTGGCTGCCACGGGTGGTGGCAGCAGCTTTCCACAGCAAGGGCCCTGCAGACCCCTGTGCCCTGCTCCAGAGAAGGCAGCCCCAAGCTGTAACTGCCCAGAGGTATCCTGTCTGTGGCTGAACACATGCTGTGCCGACAGAGGTTGTCCTGCAAGTCAGGACGGCACTAGAAGCCCCATCCTGCCATCACTCCCCTTGTCTTCCAGCACCTGCTACCCTCAGATGCCTCTGCAGAAGTTGTTATTCTCAGCCACCCTAACACAGAATCCTGAGAAACTGCAGCGGCTTGGCCTCTATCGGCCTCGGCTTTTCTCTACAGGCGTGGTTCAGAGGGGCACTGAGGATGGGGAAATGACAATGGACGGGGACTCCAAGGGGAAGTATGCCTTCCCCATGGGGCTCCAGGTCAGTTGAGTACACCTTCCCCACGGGGCTCACGGTGGTGCCCAGGCCCCAGCCTCCTGCCTCACCCCTTCTATATTCCCCACAGCACCACTACGTGCCTTGCAGACTCAGCTCCAAGCCACTTGCAGTCCTGCACCTGGTCCTTAGGACGGACGTGTCCAGGACCCTCTGCTTCACCAATTCCCGAGAGAATGCCCATAGGTAAGCTAGGTTAGGGCATGTATGCTGAGGCAGACTGGGACCCTGGCACCACATAGATCCGTCTTCTCTCCCAGGCTTTTCCTGCTAGTACAAGCTTTTGGAGGTATAAGTGTGGCTGAGTTTTCCTCCTGCTACGGACCCAGCCAGAGGAAGAAGATATTGAAGCAGTTTGAGCAGGGCAAGATCCAGCTGTGAGTACTCAGGCAGGGGCAGAGTCTGCTGTATAAAGGAGTGGGGCTCTCTGAAGGGTGATTGCTTCCAGAAATTGGCCTCCTGTGCCCAACTCTATGGCTCAAGGCCTGGAGCTTCTTGCTTTCTCTGAGGAAGGGTGGGCTTAAGTGGGGTGTAACATTTCTGGTTAGCAGAGTCCTCAGAGCTGTGTTCCATCAGCCTCATCAGCACAGACGCCACTGCCCGAGGCATTGACGTGCAGGGTGTGGAGCTGGTGGTCAACTACGATGCGCCCCAGTACCTGAGGACCTACGTGCACAGGTGAGAGTGGTACAGTGCTTCTGGGACTCGGAGCTTGTACACTCCCAAGAGCTCCATGTGTGGCCAGCAAAGAACTGTCCTTCTGTGAGATATCTGAAGGGTCAGGGCCACTGTCTGGAGACAGCTGTGTTTGATTTCAGAGTTGGGAGAACAGCTCGAGCTGGAAAAACTGGACAGGCCTTCACCCTGCTCCTGAAAGTGCAGGTGAGGGTTTGTGGGTCTCAGTGGAGTCTGGGGGAGATCTCTGGTGCTGGGGGGCTGCAACTGGCATGTGAGAACCTTTCCTTACAGGAGAAGAAGTTCCTCCGCATGCTGGCAAAAGCTGGGGTGCCTGAGCTGACTCGCAATGAGGTCCCCAATGAGCTCTTGCAGCCGCTGGTTCCTCGGTATCAGGAAGCCCTGTCCCAGTTGGAGAGGACTGTCAAGGTGAGGACTACTGGGCCTGGGACAGCTGAGCCTCAGGGTCTTGAGTAGATGTCAGGACTCATCCTGAGGATGTGTGTCCTCCAGTGCCCACTTAAAGCCATAGAGAGTTCAATGAGCCTGAGCTCACTCTTGCTTTTCCTTGATGCTAGGCTGGGCCCTGCAGACAGCCTGGACAGGTACTAACACTTCTCTACCTCCTGCAGGAAGAGCAAACGTCCAAGTTGGTCTAGGCAGGGGACTTGGGGAACCAGAGGGACCCTGCTGCTGGTTAACTGCTATCTGTCCTGAGCACTGGATGCTGTGTGAGAAGAAACTTCTGAGGACGCAGCCAGTGTGGATGGCCCCTTTCCCGCCGGTTTCCTTTGTGTAGGGCACAACCTGGACCTCAGCTCAGGCCTGCAAGCGTCATGGGATTTGTGTGGCCTCGGGTCCCATTGGTCTCTGGAAATAAACTCCGATGAGGCTGAAGCCTGGCTAGGACAGTTGGAAAGTATGGGGAGACTGACATCAAAGATCTTTTCATAGTAGCAGGTGTCCACAGTCAGCAGTGCTTTGTGATTCACATCACAGGTGTCACGTTCTGCCCTGGGATGAAGAGACTCTGTCATTGACCATCTCCATTTTTTTATGTATTAAAGTTTTGTTGTTTTTTTCAAAGAGGAACTAATTTTGTTTGTATGAAGACAGTACAGAAAAATGTTGGCGGCAGAGCCCTCTGCCATGTTCAGACAGACTGGACATCTACTGGAGGTGCCTCCAGCTGCCCCCAAACTCACACGACTCTCCCCAACCCCCACTCTTACCCCTTTCTTTGTCTGAGCGGAAGAGCTGCAAGAACAGGTCTCAGTAGGTGCAAGGCTGCCTCTGGGAACCTGGATTTGGGGAGGGCTCCAGACATTCTCCTGCCTCAGTCCCTGACTTCCCCTTCCTCCCAACCATCTGGAAAATTCCCACTAGCCCTAGATGTGGGCTAGCGCCCCTGCCCTTCCCACCCACCTCCAGGTCAGGCCCACAGCACTCCATGCCCTTCCCACCTCCAGGACTCTGACTTCCTGTAGGGCACGCATTGATCAGCTTCCCATCTGAGCGGCCAACTTTGATTTCAAAGCAAGCAGGTGCCTGTAATCCTAGCTACTCAGGAGACAGGTCTGAGGGTTGCGATTCAAAGCCAGCAAGACAAACTAACTCCCTACCCCTTTGAGCCACAGCTCCACTTCAGTTTTTTAGTGGTTCATCGGAGATAAGTCTCACGGGACCTTCCTATCCAGGATGGCTATAAACTGCAATCCTCAGATCCCAACCTCCTGAGTAACCAGGATTACAGGCGTGAGCCACCAGCCTGTGGCTCAGCTCACAATCTTATTTTAACTACTACTATTTTATTACAGATAACACAAAAGAAGTATAAAAAAGGGGCACTTTATTATGCCTTTCATTTGATAGGACACATCAGTACCCTTTAAAATCCTACTCTTCAAGTACAAATGCTTGTGTTTACAAAGTATTTACAATTCAGACTTGTTCCTTATATTCTGAAACACAACAGCTAACGTTACAAAGTGAACAAAAACAACCGCACAAAGGAAGCCCTTGCCTGTCCAGCATCTGCTTGTCCCACACTTGCCTGACCCCTAGGGAGCATTAGATATGTCTGGCCTTCCTCTTGCTTTAAGACTAGTTGGGTCCTGTTTGCCATGGGGTGGGTTAGTCTGCAGTTCTAGATTCTGCATTTATGTTCTGTTCTGAAAACCTCATACATACTTCCTTAGAGGAGGAAGGCAGGAAAGGAGATCACTCAGGTTGGTGGGAGCTGCTGTCACCAAGTGACAGTAAGAACAAGTCTGCTCACATTGTGCATTGGAGCCTGCTGCAGGCACACTTCAGAGCGAGAGGAGAGGCTTGGGGAGGAGGCCAGCCCACAATGCCCTCAATCCCAAGTCCCAATCTGCTCTTCCAGACTTGCAGAGAACTTTGGCAGATAGTCCATGTAGGGCCTGCTGAAATAAGTGATACAGCTTTGACTTCTAAGAAAAGGCTGCCAACATGGTGGGAGGAACAAAGAAGGATGAACACAGTACTGACAAGCAGACGCTGTCACCTCACCGGGAGCCAGATCTGAAGAGTGTGGGGGAGACCATGCTCCCTGGTACAGCACACACCAGGAGAGGACTGACCTGCTGTGAGCAGACAGTGCTCAGCTGACAAATAACACGTCAAGTCTTTTTGCAACACTTGGCTTATGCTTTTTTCCAAATGTCAAATCAGTAACTCAAAAGCAAGTTTGGGGTAAGTGTTAGAAAATGCCACCACATTCTGGCGTACACAAGCCACGGAGGCAGAAGATACTGCAGTGTGGACTTGATGAAGTGGGAACAGCAGACACGGCTGCGCGGCTGCAGTGGTACGACACTGGTGTGTGCTGCTGGGTGCTGACCTCCTCAGTGAGAGCAGTAAGGGGAAGAGCCACCGTTGGCCTGCCCAAGCCTAAAAGGTACGCATGACACCCCCTCAACTCAGGCCTGCCCCAGCCGGACAGCGGCACTCCAGCTGACCCGCAGAACCACAGGTTTGCTGCTACCGTGCAACAGAAGTTGGTGTGCTGGCCCCATAGGGTCCCTCTGAATGCGTGGACAGAATGCTTCCCAGCCCAGGGCAGGGCAGGGGCAGGGCAGGGGCGGGGCAGGGCAGGGCGGGGC